TTCACACTCCCTGCTGTGCATCAACAAGCCATGCAGTTTGGAAATAATATTTCAAATTAATACTTGGGGTATAGGAAGAATCATTGGGTTTAATAATAATAATCCTTGCATTTGTTACAGCGCCTAATCACGTCTTCGAGACGACTCAAAGTTCTTCACAGAATATACTGTAAAGTAAATTGACTGTGTATTTTGTGGGCGAAACGCAACAACCAATTTGCGCACAACATTATCCCATAATAAGATCCTAACCATCACTATAATGGGCCAAAGACAAAATACTGCAGACTCCGGAAATCTGAAATTAAAACAGAAGTTGCCTGGAACACTCAGCAGGTCAGACAGCATCTATGGAGAGAGTTGACTCACTTTCCTCCCTGCAACTTCTGTTTTTACTATAATGGGCCAATGCTGGTGGTCAGTGTCTGCATTCCTTTTCACATATGCACTGGAAGACGACTGTTCCATCAATGCTTCAAAATGCCAGTCGTCGCAATTTCCAGGACATTAAGTCATTGCCAATGTCACTGCCACAATGCACACTTTGGATTTTTTAGGCAAATAAAGGTTGATAACAACAAATAACAACGACCACGTTTGTATAGCGCCTTTTACGTTGGGAGGACGTCCCAAGGCTCTGGACAATCAGTGTCTCGGACCCGAGCTGGGGGTCGGGATTGGGGTAGAGTGGAGGGAAAGGGGGGGGAAGGAGGGTAACCAACCAAAGGCAAGATCGAAGGGGAGGGTCTTGAGATGGATCTTGAAGGAGGCAAGGGAGGGGGTGAGGGGTGGGGACTGTGAGATGGAGTCCCAGAGAGTGGGGGCAGAGTGGCAGAAGGCCCATGTGCCAATTGTGGGTTGGGGAGGCCATCAAGCAGGGAGTTTGCGTAGTCGAGCCTGGATGTACTGAATGCGTGTATGAGGGTCTCGGTGGCCTGCGGTGTGAGACAGTGGCAGAGCCAGGCAATGTTGCGGAGGTAGGGGAAGGCAGAGCAGGACATGGTATGGATGTGAGGTAGAAAGGATAGTTGAGGGTTAAACAAAACATGAAGGTTCCAGACTGGCTTAGTGTGATGGAGTATGCAAACATGGATGATGATGCTGTCAGCACCTGAGGTGTGGAGGCGCTGACTGGAGCCAATCTGGAGAGCCTCGGTCTTGTTGACATTCAATTGTAGACTTGATGTCTGACAGACATTCTGTCAGGACAGCAGTGGTCCTAGAGTCAAGGGTGGAGGAAAATTTTTTCACGCAGCAAGTTGTTTGAATCTGGAACGCATTGCCTGAAAGGGTGGTCGAGGCCGATTCGATAACTACTTGTAAAAATGCGGTGGACGGGTATTTGAGGAGGACGGGTTTGCAGGTTATGGGGAAAGGGCTGGGGAGTGGGATTGACATTAATTGGTCTATTCAAACAGCCGGCACAAACTCGATGGGCCAAATGGCCTCTTTTTGTGCTGTACGATTCTATGATTCATCTGCATACATGTGGAAATTGACCCCATGTCTGCGGATGATGTCACCAATAGGGAGTAAATAGATATTGAAGTGGAGGGGACCAAGGACAGAGCCCTGAGGAACGTCACATGAGACGGTGTAGGGGCTTGAGGAGAAGCCGTTTGTGGAGATGAAGTGGAGACCGTGTTAGAGTACGATCTGAATCAGTCAAGGACAGAACTATGAAGGTTGAGGTGAGAGGAGAGGGAGGGAGGAGGATAGAGTGATCAATGGTGTCGAAGGCAGCAGCGAGGTCAAGGAGGACAAGGAGGCAGAGGGAGCCCTGGTCGCAGATGGACAAAATGTCATTTGTCACTTTGACCAAAGCTGTGGGGGGGAGGGGTTTGTGAAGGGAGTGGCGGGAGAGGAAGGAGCGAAGCTGGGAAGCAATGACTAGTTCCAGGACCTTGGAGAGGAAAGGGAAGTTGGAGATAGCGCGGTAGTTTGAGAGCAGTGCTGGATTCAGGGAGCGTTTCTTCAGGGATAGGAGTGGAGTCCTGTAGCTCTGTGGTTAAAGCACTCGCCTTGCAAGCGAGCCACCTCGGTTCAATTCCAGGCAGAGGGCGAAACCTTGGGCAAGTTTCCTTACTCCACACAGAGCCTAATAATAATCCCTCCAAAACAAAACAATAATAAATTGGTCATTTTCAATCTACGACTGTTTGTGGGACATTGCTGTGCTCAATTGGCTGCCACGTTTTGCCCACAAATATACGGTCAATTCACTTAACAGTTTATTTTGTGAAGCACTTTGAGACGTCGAGAAGACGTGAAAAGCACTATATCAAATGTAAGGATTATTAGTATTATGATGGCCGTTTTTAGAATCAGCAACTGTAAAAGCAAACCGAATTATCACGTAGCATATTATAACAAGCTTCAAATCTACATTTGTTGCATTGTTACATTTTGCTCCCGTTGTATTACTTAACAGGGTCAATGTTTAAGTTTGTGAAACATCGGGTTTAGCAGTTGACTGTATATCATATTCCTACCTTCCATGCTGGGAAATCCACAAATGTCCATCAGATCAGATCCCAGACAAATTCTTTTTGCGAGCCCTTTACAAAGGCCAAACCCTGTGCATTCCAATATGAATGCTGGCCAATGTAGAATAACATAGAATGTGAAGGAGCTAAAAATAAAACACATGCAAAGTGCTGCGGAGGAGAAAATTGTGCCCATAACAGAGAGAAGCTCTTCAAACCATTTTTGCAGTTTTCATGCTGATTTGAAAGGAACTCAGTGGAATATCACTTCCAGAAGTTTTATTTCTTATCTTTCTAGCCCACATTCAGAACTGGCAGATTTGCTGGCAAGAATGAACATCAATTATTAAATAATTCTGTATTAAATATATATTTTTTAAAAAGTGTCCAATTATTTGCTGGGATGCAGTTCCATGGCAAATAAATAAAAAATAACAATAATTCAGCCATTTAATCTACGACTGTTTGTGGGACACTGCTGCCATGTTTTGCCCACAAAATATACATTCAATTCACTTCACAGTATATTCTGTGAAGCACTTTGAGATGTATCAAAGACGTGATAAAGCACTATATCAAATGCAAGGATTATTATTATTATAGTTGGAGGCTCTCTCAGCAACAACAACTTGCACTTATATAGCGCCCTCCACTTGGGGTAGTGTCTCAGAGCTGTCAAGGTATCTTTCAGAATCAAATGGTAAGCTGGAAAAGTCAGCTTTCTTCCTTATTGAATCTTGAATTGACTCAACTCTGTAGCAAACACACTAGCAATGCAAAAAACAACACCTTGCATTTATATAGTGCCCTTCACACAGGGTAGAGTCCCGGATCACTTGATATTGGCGGAGTCTGACACCGAGCTGGGGGGGCAGAGCAGTGTAAAGATCTTGAAATGAAAACTATGAAACCAAAACTGACAACATTGCAGTATCTGTTAGAGCAAGGCAGGCCACATGAGCACTTGTTTCCTCAAACGTTGATAGAATTTTACACAGCATTCAGCATCACATCTGTGAATATCATCTCTTTGTCTTCACCTAAAGAAGAGTTGTCATTGAAGCTTCTCGTGCTAACAAAAACCTAAAGAAATTCGACACACTAGATATTGTACTTGACAGGAAAATGTTTGTTCAATCAGCTTCAATTAAAACCATGGTGGGTGCACAAGAATTGTGTAAGAGAGAAAGAAGGAGTAGCTATAACATTGAAGCACTTCAAGGTGCTTTATAGTAATTCCTCTCAGTTACAGTGACTTTTTGTAGGCAAAGTGTATGCTCTTCCTAATGTAGACAACATAATAATAATATTCGCTATAGCAGCTTTCACCTTGAGGAGATGTCTCAAAGCACTTCACAGCAATATACTGTAAACGTGTATTTTTGTGTAAGCAAAATGCAGCAAATTGCACCAGGCAATATGTACAGAAGTGTAAGGTTCTGATTGATCATAAGGTAGATGTTATAAATAAATGCAAATTGTTCTCAGCGTCCCAAGGTAACGCATTTTGTGGAGTCCTGTAGCTCAGTGGCTAGAGCACCTCCCTGCAAGCAAGAGACCTGGATTCGATTCCCAGCAGAGCGAAACACTGAGCAAGGCTTCCTTACTCCACACAACTCTGTTTATCTACCAGTAAGTAGGAACCGGTTGTTAGTCGATTGGCGGGTCGCTTTTCCAGTGGTAGTAATCCCTTCAAAAAAATAATTAAAAAATTTAAAAATTCATCACTTCAATCCACAACTGTTTGTCAGACACTCTTGTGCTCAATTGGCTACGTTTCACCCACAAAATATAGTCAATGTTAAGTTGAAGATGTGATAAGGCGCTATATCAAATCCTTGCATTTGATATAGCGCCTTATCACATCGTTGAGATGACCCAAAACGCTTCACAGAACATACAGTCAAGTGAATTGACTGTATTTTTTGTGGGTGAAACATGGCAGCCAATTGCGCACAGCAGTGTCCCACAAACAGTCGTGAATTGAGTGACCAAATTATTATTATTATATTTATTTTGAAGGAATTATTACCCTCAGAAAAGTAATCTGCCAATTGATGAACAACCAGGTTCCTACTTACTGCTAGATAAACAGAGGCGTGCGTGTGGAGTAATCTTTCGTCCTACCTGAGAATCAAACCCAGGTCCTTTTGCTTGCGAGGCGAGCGCTCTAACCATTGAGCTACAGGAATCCATGTTGCTGCTGCTATTTCAACCCAATGTTTTTTTAGGGAGAAGAGGGAGGGTGGGGCAGGTGAGCTGCCGTTTAGCATGGAATATTTTCAAAGTATGGATTATATCAGCGTGCAATGTGACTTGTAGTGAATCTTAAATATGGAACTTAACAGCCAGAAACGCATACCAATCGGTGTAACATACCGTGGGTCAACAAACTCTGGGGTTCATCAGGTGCTTCTAACAGAACACTCAAACAGCAAAAGGATAAACTTTGGTTGAAAAGGATGAGAGGAAATGGGAGAGGGGAAAGACAGAGAGACAGATCTTCGCTGTTACCTATCTGTCTTTCCAGGTCTGTTGCTTCATCTTGCGTGGCACGAGGCAGAACTCCTGGATCACTGAAGCTTGTACGTAGCAACGTCCCCATCACAAAAAAGAACAAAATCGCTGCTATCACTGGGATCGCGGGTGTGATGTTTACTGCTAGGTACGGACAGCTGTTAAAAAAATAAATACAAAAAAAACAAAATAAATTAAAACTGATTCCAGTGGAGGCACACGACACAGTGTACATTTTAAGGGGCAGCGATCAAAATCTCCTCTTTATGGCAAAGGACTCAGCGAAATGCATTGATTCAAATATTGGATGCCACCAGAGAGCTGTCAGAATGTTGCTACAGAAGAGTTTACATTCCACTAAATAATAAAATAATAAATAATAATCCTTTCATTTGATATAGCGCCTTATCATATCGTCGAGACGTCTCAAAGCTTCACAGAAGATACTGTATGGTGTAGTGCCTGTGTTTTGTGGGTGAAAAACGGCAGCAAACTGCGCACAACAGTGGCCCACAAACAGTTGTGGGTTGAGTGACCAAATTATTATTATTTATATATTTATTTTGATAGGACTATTACCCTGGAAAAGTGATCAGCCAATCGACTGACAACTGAGTTTCTACTTACTGCTAGGTAAACAGTGGTGTGTGGAGTAAGGAAACTTGCCTAAGGTTTCATCACTAAAGAGCAATGATGGGAACAATTACTACCCCGTATATCAGGTCAGTGGGAAGTTTTGTTACATGAATCCTAACACAATCACACGGCTGAGGCATTTCACAAAATCCACTGCAAAGTGTAATCACACAAAGTAGTGTCCTGTAGCTAGTGGTTAGGGCACTCGCCTTGTAAGCAAGAGACCTGTGTTTGATTCCCAGGCAGGGTGAAATGTTGGACAAGTTTCCTTACTCCGCACACCTCTGTTTATCTAGCAGTAAGTAGGAATCCAGTTGTTAAGTCAATTCGCAGATAGGTTTTCTGGGGGTAATAATCCCTTCAAAAAGGAATATAATAATAATAACTTGTTCACTCGATCCACAACTGTAAGGCACTGCTGTGCGTAATTGGCTCCACATTTCTCCCACAAGATATATAGTCAATTCAGTATACTTTATAGTATATTCTGTGAAGCGCTTTGAGACGTCTCACAGACATGATACAGGGTTATATCAAATTCAAGGATTAACAAAAAAAATGCAAGGATTAAGGTGTCACTACCACTGGCCCCAGATTGGCAAATCGATCAACCTTCACCTTGTAAACCGTATAGCATCTGTAAAATGCAATCCATTGCTATGTACATTTACACTGAATGATGGGCATTCCTTCAGGAATTTCAGGCTGCAATGATCTCAGGCTCCAAAGGCAAACAAATATCATTTCTGGGTATCAATTCAACCATGATTACATGACAGCTTTATCCATTGTAGAAAGCGTTATTGAGCAAAAGATCAATATTGATATAGGTGGAGAGCTATCAATTAAAGCCAAGCTGGTGGAGATACAAACATAACAAGGCAAAAAGTGATGAGCGCACAATATTTTACAATGCTTTTTTTAAAATTACTTTAATGAGGCCCTTTGTGCAGGATTTGAAAATGAATAGAGTAGATCTTGTGCTACTGTCTCAAATCAGCGTACTGCAGCCAAGGTTTCAAAGCGCTTCACAGTGAATTGAAGTGAATTGAATGTATATTTTGCGAATGAAACCCTGTAGCCAATGGCGCACAGCAGTGTCCCACAAACAGTTGTGGACTGAGTGACCAAATTACTATTATCATTTTTTTGAAGGGATTATTAACCCCGGAAAAGCGATCTGCCAAAACAGCTAATGGCTGGGTTCCTACTTAGTGCGAGGTAAACAGAGGAGTGTGAAATAAGGAAACATGCTGAACGTTTCGCCCTGCCCGGGAATCAAACCCAGGTCCTCTCGCTCTTGAGGCGAGTGCTCTAACCACTAAGCTCCACAAGTCCTGTAAGGGGGCATAGCTTTAAAATCAGAACTAAGATAGATAGAACTGAGGTCAAGAAAAATGTCTTCACACAGAGGGTAGTGAAGATGTAGAACACTCTGCCCCAGAAAGCTGAGGAGGTGAAATCAATAAGGATATTTAAAATAGATGGTCAGGTATTGGGTAGCAGAGGTACATGTGAATGAAGCATTCATGTATATAATAAGCTTAAAAACAATGTGTTACTTTGTTTCATACACCCCAAGGCAGCAGCACAGTAGTGGTTGTGTCGTGGAAGCTTAGGACAAATAGCAGGATGCGTTTCTTTACACAGGAGAACCAACCCAGAACTAGTTCCAAGGAAAGGTGATTGAGACCAGGACAATGAACACATTTCTTGATGCTATAATTAGAAAACAATATGTAAAGTATTCTGGTTGGAAGAATGAGGTCAAATGTGCTGAAGGGCTTTTTTCACCTGATATATCCTTGTTATTCGATACAGAACTTAGAGTAGAGTATATATAGTACATTTATTAACTACAAACAAAAGGGCTTGCCCTTTGAAATTCAAAACCTCTTGTCCTAGTGTCTTGGTGCAAGCTTGAATTTGATATAGTGCCTTATCACATCCGAGACCGAAAATCCGTCACAGAATATACTGTAGTGTAAAGTGTAAGGTTCCTCCGAGTCTGGCCTCCTCCTCGTCCGCCGAGTCCTCCGCTCCACCCTCAGCGGCCGTGTCTTCAGCCACAATCCCCCGAGGCTCTGGAACTGCCTTCCTCACTCCCTTTGTCTCGCTTCCTCCCTTCCCATTTCAGGTCTCTGCTGAAGACCTTTCTTTTCGATCGCGCCTTTGGTCACCTTCCTCCCCCTCCCCCGGCTCGGTCCCGGGATCCGTTACTGTAAAGCGCTCTGAGACGCCGTCCGGGCGCTATATAAATCCAAGTTGTTGTTATTGATTGTATATTTTGTGGTCAAAACGCACCAGACAATTGGGCACAACAGTGTCCCACAAACAGTCGTGGATTGAGTGAGCAAATCATTATTATTTATTTTATTTATTAATGTATATTTTTTTGAAGGGATCATTAACCCCAGAAAATTAATCCACCAATCGACTAACAACTGGGTTCCTACTTACTACTAGGTAAACAGAGGGGTCTGTTGTAAGGAAACTTGCCAAGGTTTTGCCCTGCCCGAGACTCGAACCCAGGTCCTCTCGGTGCACTGAGCTACTAGACCCCAAATAGGTGCAGTGATGTTTCATGCCTACACAGAATAGCAACGATGCATACACAAACTGCACTTACAGAAAAAGCTGAGCACAAACTCATCCGATATTCAGGGCAACTGAGAAGGGCATTGATCATTGAAAAGTGAAATCAGACAAAGAATTGTGACAATTGAGTAATGCTGTCGCATTATCATCCCACTCAGTTCCTGTTAACCCTGCAAGTCAAACCACTAACGGGTAGGGTGGTCTTAGCTTGACAAGCAGCAGGAAAGCTTGCCAGACAACGATATCAATGGTAAGCTATGTGGTTTTAGCTGGTTAGCCTCCAGCAGTTAACCCAACACACACTCTGGGGTCCCCAAGCCTTGGCTCTTGCCAACCTGCGCCTAATACTTTCCGGAATTAGGTAAACAGGAGAGAGTGCGCATTCCATTCCAACAACGTATCTCTGGGATTTCCACGTGCAGGTGGGATGCATGGAAACCTCAGCTTGGTTTGGAGACTCTTAAGCACCGTGATGGGTTTCCGCATGTGTCAGACACCCGAATGAGCACAAGACAAACCCTATCTCAAGGCTTTGCTATTCTCATCATAACGTTAGTGAACAGCATCCAATGATGGCATTCTGAAGCTTAAAACCTAATGTGAGCAGAAAAGGCCTGAGACATTCTTCTTAGCATAACGTTCACCAACCAAACACAAAGCAACATCTCTCTCCCCATTTGCAGTTTTGACCTCTCAGCTGGCTGTCTGCATTTTGTTTTTTTATTTTAAATTGCTACCTTCAGGTAAAAACTTTGACAGAGCGGCAATTAAGAAGGATGGGTCAAAGCTTGCAAGATGATGGTAGGTCACGGTGAACGGAGCACGAGAGAGGAGAGGAGAGGAAACAAAACTCTATGTCAGATACGTCTACAGTGGCTCATTGCACCTGCTGGTCCATCATTGCGATGAATTAAGAACTGTAAACTGCACAAACACAATTCAGCAGAGACAAAACCGAGGCCACAAAATAACCTCATGGAGAGAGTGTGAAACTAATTGCTTTTTTAAAAAAATATCTGATTATTTCCATATTATTATAACTCCTGTTAATAACACATTTCCTGTGGGGGGAGGTGGTGGGGGGGGGGTTATGGCCCCAAATGTATTCTTACTCGTTTGGGGATGGTGTTCTGCCTGCAGTTGGGCAACAAGAAATCAGGAGGCAGTTTTTCACTCAAATCTGGAACTCCCTCCCCCAGAAGGCTGTGGATCCTGGATCCATTCACATTTTCAAGACTGAGGTGGATAATGGGGTTTGGAGCTGCAGGATGGGGACTATCAGGCTCTGACCTCACCTCCCACCATTCTACCCCTGACAATGAGATTCAGAAAGATCGGAGCGTACCTGGGATATGAAGGGTGCACTCCGGGCTGTTCCCTTGTGAATCTGATTGCAAAACATTGCAATTAATAAGACATTGGTGTCTGATTTGTGAAAATCCCAACAAGATTTGTAACTAGGCAATCTGTCAGGACAGCACCAGGTAGCAAACGACATTTGTGGAGTCCTGTAGTTTAGTGGTTAGAGCACTCGCCTTGCAAGCAAGAGGACCTGGGTTCAATTCCCGGGCAGGGCGAAACGTTAGGCAAGTTTCCTTACTTCACACGCCTCTGTTTAAATAGCAGTAAGTAGGAACCCAGTTGTTAGTTGATTGGAAGATCACTTTTGCAAGGATAATAATGCCTTCAAAATAAATATAATAATAATCAGTTGGTCACTGTTTGTGGGACGCTGCTGTACATAATTGGCTGCTGCATTTCACCCACAAAATATATAGTCAATTCACTTTCAGTATATTCTGTGAAGTGCTTTGAGACGTCTTGAAGACGTGACAAGGCACTGTATCAAATGTAAGGATTATTATTGTTATATAGTTCCTTCCACGCTATCCTATCCTACTCCACCGCTTGTCCTCCCACCTCA